GATAGGAATATGCCAGATAGGAATATAGACAGCCCTGTATATAAAAGCTATGTCGGATACATACATAAATATATCTTAATCCTTTGAGGGCGTAGCGAAATGGAAATGTCTATATGACAATGACTGAGTATTCTGCAGTCGGTAGCTCCCGACTGCAATGTTCATGCCTGTCTTTGACTGCGCACACTGTGGTCGCCTGGCTTAAATGCGCCTTCCCAGCCAGCCTTCTATCAAAAGTGAGGAGCCTAGTGAGACATCCGGGCAGGCAGCTCTCCGGTGTGCTCGCCCCTTGGCCCAGTAGAGGAATGCAGAGCTGATATATCTATCGTGCAACTAGCTCAAGCCCAATTCATACAATCTAAATTTGTTTTAATTCCCGCACAAATTAGAAGAAAAACGACATTCGGCTCGTAGCTGCGCAACTAATTTTTATCATTTAAAATCGAACATGGAAATTAATGTGACTATGACTATACATTGGAGTAACTGTCATCTGGAATATGTCATTTGTCTATCAAAAAAAAAAAAAAAGAGGAAAAACTATCAAAATCTAAACAACTTAACTAGCCTTGTTATTGGTCAATTAATGGCGCCAGATTGGAGTCTTCTTACTGCGCGCGATCATAGCAGTTAGCTGCTGCGAATATTTGCCCCTCTCATTGGCCGGAAGCTGGGCGAACTGCCTGGCTCTGTTGGCCGGGTTGCCCGCCAAGCGTGCGCGATTGCCTACAGTCTGAGTCGATTGGCTGCGCGATAAGTTAATCTCCTCTGAACTGGTATCGTCCATGTCCAAGGCATTCCGCGGAGAGGCGGTAAAGGAATGCGACTTTCTGGTGTCGTTCTGCGACAAGGCACCGATCGAAAGCTGAGTGTCGCTACAGGTAGCGTCGGGAAGCTCGCCGTCTCGCCGCATGCCCATGTTGGTTAGCAAATTGTCCATGCTCACCTCGTAGCGCCACTGGTTGTACTGCTGCTCGAGCATTAGCTGCTGCCTTAATTTCTGCAAAGAATATTTGGTTACCTATTGGGCTCGGGGCCAGCGGCCATTCGAAGCACTTACGAAAATATTACGCTTGTACATATAGGTCAATACAAATCCGGAAATCACCATTAATGTCATCGAGAACCACAGAAACTGATGTTGATCCATGCCCAGGGCCTGCATCACGGACATGCTCTTCACAAATATCCAGCACGATTTGGGCCACTGGCGGCAAGTGGATGTATGCATGATGTTATCTTGGGCATCCACTACGACCTCGTTGGTCCACAGTTCCAAAAGTTTTTTAAATTGCATCATATTTTGGTGTTCTTTCACGGGGACGAATTGTAGTAAAAAAAAATATAAAAAAAATATAAAAAAATTACAATTTTTGAGAAATTTGAAATAGTCCGAAAGCGCTCGATGCGTAATTTTAAATGAGCTCCAAAATCCGGAAGCAAGCCTTATATAGCCTCGCTTTTCAAGGCCTGCTGCGACTCAAAATATTTTTGCTGAAAATGTGATTCAGTTTACAATTTTACGGGAAAACATCGAATCTGGCAACGCTGTACACATAGGCATTGCCGTAAGCGATACTTTTCACTCGGTTCGATTTCACTCTGTAGCGAACCCGATTTAATCGAAAAGCTACATTTTAATCGAGTTGGCTTTGCATTGCACATCAACTCTGCACTCCTGGGCTCCTTATACTCGCCTATTGCGTGAAAAGAGCATATGTATGTAGATATATTCAGGTATATTTACTGAAGCTAGACCACAGCTGCCCTGGATTACTATAGACTCATGTACAGCGTTCCTCACTGGCCTAAGCAAAATATCGGAAATTTATATTGTATACAATCTGGTATTTCACGCCCTGAAGCCGTTGAATATGCGAGATCCGTGTAGGAGGAGGAGGAGCTGAGTCGATCTGTCCCTGCACGGCTCCGTCTGCTTAAGCGCAGATATCTCGTAAGCCATACAAGCTTGAAATATTTAATACACACATACAAAGATCTTCAGTCAATTACTCTTTATCACTGATATTCTCTGATATGCAGAGATATACATACAACTATGATCTTTCCCTGATACATAGAGATATTCATTCAATTACGATCTTTCTCTGATATTACTCATATAACTACACTCAGGTGTATTGTCTCTATAAAGATCTTTCTCAGATATTTACTTGTTACATAGCGATATTCAAGCCACTACTATCGTTGTCCTATATTGTCTGATATATAGGCATATTCATTCTTTTACTGCCTATCGTTGATATTCTCTGATATGCAGAGATATGCATACAACTATGATCCTTCCCTGATACGTGTGATTTTTCTCTTATAATTCTCAGTTGTATAGGGATATTCACTCATAAACGATAGTGTTTTTATATGTCTAGAGAGATATTCATTATGGTATGATTCGTTCGTATATATCTCTGATACGTATCATATCATTGAACTGCTACCTCACTTTAATATTTCTCCGTTATATGGCTCTATTCTTCAATCATAGATCCTTCTCTTATACTTCTCTCGTATATATGGATATATTCATTCAGCTAGAATACATTTGTTTCAGATATAAACTCAGCTATTTAATGTTCACTCGCATTCTAAAATAGCCATAAAATAGCTTTAACAATTGCTTTCATTTACTCTATTGTAGCAGTCACAAGTGCTGCGTGGCTATGACTATTCGAAAGCTATATTCGACTTGGCTGCAGTCCCATCACTCACTTTCGCACTCGCCCACTCACTTTGCGTGTCTGTCGCCAAGTTGCAGCTCGCCAACTTCGTGGTGTTGCAATGCCCCTGGCTCGCAGACAAACTCAAATATTTTGCTAAATAAATTGAATGCAGCTAGGAAAATATGCTCGCTCTCGCACTCTCTCTCCCTCTGCTGGCGTGGACGATGTATGTAAATAGCGCGACAACCATGAGAAATGGCAAAAACTTTCATTCGAGCAAACAAAGCTGCAATTCTAATAAAGTCATGGCGCGCCATGCAACGAGCGAAATTTGGTTGTCGTCTGGCTAACTGTGAATATGCATATATGAGTGTGTCTGTGTGTGTCTGTATGAGTGTGTGTGTGTGTGTCCCTCTCGCTTTGTGTGTGCATGCCCACATTGTGCCCATATTTGGTATTGCTCTTATACAGCTTGTGCTGCTGCCGGACCCAGCGTTTTTTATTGTCCTGCGCCATACGTGCGCTCATATTTCACAGCTGCCACAGATTCGCCATTTCGTTCTCATAACAAGACACCAAAAGAGGCATCATAACGTGACTCCAAGTGCCGTCCACAGCGGCCACAGCGGCCACAGCGCCCACTGCGACCACTGCGACCACGCCCACAGCGCCCACAGCTGCCTTACGTCCAGCGACACGGCACACAATTTTCTATTAGGCCGTACCCGCAATTTGGCCACACACAAGTTTCCGCCATTTAATGCGGCACATAAATAGTTTGGCTTACCGCAACAACATGCCTTGCCCAACTGGCGCAGCTGGTCAGTTGGCAGCCGCCACGCCCCCATTGCGATGAAGGCCATAAGTGCGAACTCATTTGCATCTGGCAAATAGCATATTGCGGTTGCACTTACAACTTCTTAATGATGTGCGCAAACATTGCTATGCAATCACACACACGCGCACACACACACGCACACACACAGATACAGGCACGCTCACGCTCAATTACACACGCACACATATTTGAAGAGGATTCCACACCTAGAGCAGTCGGTGTGAGTGACTTTTGCTGAGACTTTGGCAATTGACTTAGGTAACTTATTGAACTTGGGCAAAAATCTTGACAAAGTCAAATATTCTTTGATTGATTTCGGTTAGAATTTGATTATCTTAAGTGAAAATAAGTGACAGCGTATCAGACGGCTGCTACTGACTGCAGTATACTCCTTAACGGTGCAAAATCAATTGAATCTGTTTTGGGTAAACAACTATTAAAGAGTCTCCAGTTACTTAGTTAAGTAGTTCCATAATTCGAGTGCACATTCCAAATTTAACTCAAGGCGCTCAACCGAAAACTAAAAATAAAAGATTCGAAGTCTCTTCCTCAGAGTATGATTATTTTTCGGTTAACAGTTAGTTGCGAGTTGATAATTAAACAAATTTAATTCAAAGGAAATTCTCTGAGTGAAACCATTTATTATTATTAACAGGAATTCGAAGTCTCGCTTGAATATATATTTCTATATTTCTTGAGAAGTTCAGCTGCCATAGCTAAAAGTGTGAACAATCCGAGCGATTCCATGGAATATATATGCGCAACGAAAGCTCAATAATCTTCTTTTGATTGGCCTTCATAGGAATAAAATAAAAATCAATATTAAAAATAACAACTTAATATAGATAATGAAATTGATCAGAATCAACTTTTCAGCCAAGCGAGTCGGAAATAAATTTTAAAGTAGGTTAAATGTTTTCATAGTCGCTGCAAGAGAGAAGCAAAATATTATTGCTTAATTATGGCAGCCATGTCCCATTTCATATAGCGAAAAGCAATAATGCGAGGCGCTCCACGTGGCGTATACGCAATATTTGTTGTGTGCCCTTTACACGCGTTTTTAACTTGTCAGTGACATTAAACCGTGCCCCAGGGAACGCACTGATATCGGGCTTGCATGATGCATGCCACATACATGCAAGCATACATACATATATGCACACATATACAATGGACAGTGATTTACAGTTATTGTATTTATTCAGCTATCGTCTCATTAATCATTAGGTTTGCTCTATTTCGGCTTTATCAGCAATACGCGTTAGAAATCTATTAAATACTGAATAGCTGGTCCAACTGGCTAGCCAATCAAATGCAGTTCAATTGTGCAGCCAAAAACAGTTTTAAAATAAATCGGATGTGAGTTTATGGGAAATAGTGAAATTAGGTCAGTCGGCTCTTAATTATTGCCCCAAATAGTTTACAAACATTTTGAAATAAACTTGTAATCGGTAACCTTTGCATTTTTATTGCTTTTGCAGTTCTCGTTGAAAGCTGTGTGCAATTGGGATTGAAGGTAAGTTCAGCAAATGTTTTTGTTACCCAATTACTCTTTTAACTAATTAAAAGGTGTTTTTGATTGCAATGCATTTGCTGCTCAAGCTGAATTAAATTAAAAATTTCAAAGAACAAATTTCAATTGGAGCAATGTTATCCACTCTCATTTATTAAATAGTTGCTAAAAGCAGGTATAAAGAATCACTATCAGGCTTAAACTTAATCATCATCAATGCGAATTTCTTCTAGGCTAAGCAGCCAGTTAATTGGCATCAATTTGTTTTGGATGGCTTCAAAATAACCTTACTTTAACTTTTTTCCATTTAACACCTTTACAATTGCGCCCAGTAAGTAATTCCCGGCGTGCTGTCCTTGACAATGTGCTCTTCCAATTGCCATTCCATTCCATTTTCTAGTCGCCTTCGATTCGTCTACTAACACTTATAGCGAGCCTGCTCAAATGGCTTCAATAGCCATCTCGCTTTCACTCAGGGTCTCCCGCTACTAAGTTCAGCAATAGCTATCGTTGTCTCTTTCACTCTCCCCCAAATAATGTGAGTTAGACATTTACCACAAGCTGTTAATGGGAAGAGTGCAGCTAATACGCAAGCTCGCTCGGATAAAATTTTACAGTAACTCAATTCAAGCTCTCAGGCACCAAACTACTACAAAAGTAGAAGCCAATCGCAATCGCGAATTGCAATAGTAAGAAAGCAGATTATGCTATTAATTTCACGTGCTGGAAATTTAATAAAGGAAATTTAGAAATGACAGAAAATAAGTAAAAAAGAAAAGTTGGGGCTGAAGCAACTAAGATTACAACAAATGTGGACATAATTATTAAGCCAAACGTCTGCAATTTCAAGTTAAAGATAAAAATGCTTGGGTGTTATCTGCATATTGTGTTAAAAGAACTGCATTGGTAGTGGAGCACGTAAAGTCATTAATTAAAGCACTGCTGTGTGTTGACTGCAGACGCTCAGTGTGCTCAAGCGAATTGAGCGATTGTCGGGTCAGAGTCAATGCGACAGCTTTAACGCAAAATGTCAATCAAACAGCGCTGCACCACATGCATCACACATGCACTTGAACACACACACACACACACCGTATGCTGGTACTAACCATGAGTATGGGTGTGAGTCGACTGTCAGTCGAAGCTGCCGGCTCATTCGCCTGCGGCCCTCTGCCTCGGCATATAGCAATTTTCGCTGCCACTTCAGCTCATTTAACGCCAACAAAGGCGACGCTGGCTCCTCTGATTGGCAGGACGTAGAGTACAAAGCAGCCCAGTGACAGGTGACTTGGGCGACCGCGACAGGGACGAGGATGAGGAGCAGCTGGAGGTGGAAATGTAGGATGTGGGAAGCCTGTGGGTTTGGCTACACACACAAAGCCAAAGGCATTTTATATAGCCCCCTAAAAGGAGTAAAACAAAACTTTCGACATGAAATGACATGCCGATTAAATTAATGCAGTACCTAAAGCCTCGACGGGTGGCATGTGGGGGAGGGGGACCGGACGATGGAGGGAGTGGGTGCGATTAAGAAGTTTCTGTTGCTGCCGTTAGCAGCAGTGGCATCGTAAAAACTTTAAGATCGAATCGTTTGTGAGCCCCCTGCTCATAAGTAACGCCAAATCAGTTGGGTCCATCGACACCTGCGACCGAAAGGCCAAGCGACCGAAGGGCAGGAGGCACACGATATGGGCATAAGGCTGTAGGCATGAAACGGCATCAACTGTCGGCATCATGTGCACGTAATCATAATAAATGACATCGGACGCTCTCGTAAGCGGATACTTTTATTTAATTATGCATCCCTGGCATCGAACCTTTCCACACCCACGCCCACGCCTACGCCCACGCCTACGCCTATGCCCACCCATGCCGCACCAACTTTAAAATCAAACTCAAACTCATGCCTGGGGTCAAGGTGAGCTGCCTTCAGCTGCCTTGTCCCCCAAGCACTTCATTTGAATAGACTTTCCAGCTGTTTTTATGCTTTAAGATCTTAACATTGCAGATGATAATGATACAAATTTGTTATTTCCCCTCCATAGTTAACCGAGTGTCTGCTTCATGCGAGGGTGCGCCTTTGATGAGCTGAAATCCAATATTTTTTTATTGCAATATCTGATATTTTTAAGCATATACTTACATGGAACGCTTACAGCTACGAGCTATAATTGTCACCTTTTGAATAGACAGACGGCATTAGATGCTGTACACTCATGTCTATTGGAGCACAGTAATGTGGAATAGTATTCTATTCATGTGAGCAGGAAACCAAAACTTCACTAGAAGATTCACTATTCTCATCAGCGTCTTCTCTGAGTTTGAGTTGAGTTTCAATTTCGTCTTCATTCTCAAAACACCAACTAAATGATTTCGTATCACGATATAAAATTAATTTGACTTAACAAATCGGATATATAATTTAAGTAAAAGGCATCGCTCTTCGTAGAGACAGCATAGATCATATTAGAGCACTGCTGCTCACATTCTGGAGTGATCGGAAATCGAGTAGATCTCAGTAGCTCACGCTTCTAAGTGCAGCATAGATCGCTGTTCTTATTCATCTGATCCCAACATTGGGAAGTTTCTCAGAGAATGGGAGCCGTTCAACTTAAGGTATTATAAGTCAAGCATCTGAATGCAGTATAGATCGCAGTAACTCACTCGTCGTAGTGCAGCATAGATCACTGTAGTTCATCGATGTTTTCATTATTGAGTGCTGAACATAAAAGTCCTGCTTCATATAGATCCTTGATTCAGAAGAGCTACAAGATTCATAAAAAATTATTGTTAAATACAGAAAATTCATAATAAGTCATACATAGTTCAGTTTCCCAATCGGGTATTAAAATTCACTGCTCCCTTCACTGTACCTTATCAAGCTTGCTTTAATATTTGTTTTCATTGCCTTAAAATGTCTGCATTACAAATGCTACTTTAAAAGAGATTTCTCTAAGCAACTGTAGCGCTCATACCGCTCAGAAAAGTAGCGGAAGAGTGAGTTGTTCTTTGACCGCCTCGTCACAGGAAACACCCCTTAAGCTCTGTAAACCCTTTATGCTATTATGTGTCATCCGCATGAACATGCGCGCATAGTTGTTACTTGTGTGTTGTCCAATGATTCGGTCGTTTATTTTTGTGCCATAATCCCGCATTGTCGTCGTTCTGTGGCCTGTGGACTGGATCCGACTCAGCTCAGCTCTCGGCGAGCTAATGGCAATGTTTGCAAGGTGAAAGTTCTCACTGCTTACTTTTAAACTGTTTGTTCTTGTCAACTTAAAGGCTGAGCTTTTTCATTGTGTATATGTGTGCGTCCTTTCAATGTGGGTGTGTGTGTGTGTGTGTGTGTGCCAAGAAGTTTGTAATTTATTTTTAATACTCTTGAAATTTGTATTTCTTGCCTTTTATTATAGTAAACAATCCTCATTTTACACTTGTGTGTGTCTCTCTCTCACTCTCTCTCTCTCTCCCTCTCTCTCCCCTCTCTCTCTCTCTCCCTCTCTCTCTCTCGCTGTGTCACACTCTAAGCTGGCGATTTTTAATTATACTCGTTGCAGAGAATGTCTAACTTTCTACCAGTGCCAGTGCCTTCAGGCCGTCGGCACAGCCAGCAACAGCCATCGCAAACAAAACAAATAAAACAAAGCACTTACATTCACAAATTAATAATTGAAAGTTTCTCTCTTGGCTCTAAATAGTTCGGTATGAGTTTCGTGCAACATTCTCAATATGCCCACGAGCGAGCTTAAGAATTACCCAACTAATTTGCAAACTGAGCTCCAATTACAAATTACTAATTAGCCCCAAACGACATTCACATATATTCAAACATTCAATTCAGAGTTCCTTCCATCTGACTCAGTGATATATTTATTCGGCTAGTTGAATTCACTTCTTTAAACCTGACATATTTGACAGAAGTTATTAAATGATTTCTAAAATATATAAGGTAAATATTTCCTAAATAATTATTAAATAATATATATTATATATTCAAATGCTCAGAATGAGTAACATCTTTGAGCAACTGTAAATCCAACAAAGAATACCCAGTGCCTCTCAAACTGTGCCATTCCAGTATGCCAGTTTCTTGTCGCTCTCTCTTTGTCCAGTGAAATTCACAGCGAAGCTCATCGAATGGTTTCAATAGCCATCTCGCTCTCACTCACTAATCCTCGGGACAACGTTCAGCAACAGCTATCTTTGTCTCTCTTTCTCATTGGAGCGTGTAGGCAAGACGCAAACTCACTCGCATAATATGCTACATCAAATCGATTTAAGCTCTGAGAGTCTTGCACCAATACCACTGCAACAATAGGAGCCAATCAAGCATTGGCACAGCAAGACAACAGGCTCAGGTATTAGTTTCTTAGTGGAGATGTGTCATATAAATATACTTATATAGTCCATTAGAATATACTTGAAGAGTCTTAAATATCTATTTTTAAGGGTGAAGTAAATAAATTTTGCCTTATGTCATATACATATGCATATAACTGTCATATGTCAAATAATAGAGCGCTTTATCAAAATTTCCGTTAATAATCCAATAATCAAATTCTTTGAAAAGTCTCCAACACACACACATACACAGCGTAGCTATAAAAAGCATAGTAAAAACATTCATATTGTAGTCATAATAAATATGATGTTATTTTATAAATAATATGTAATCAGTAATAAAAAATTTACTATTAATTTTTAAATTACAAAATATTTATTCAAATTCAATTCGAGAAGTTTTAAATATTACTTTGTAAATTTTTTTTTTTTATAAATTTATCAGTTTTTATTGTCCTAGCCAAGGGCAACTGTTTAAGAGAAAGTTACTAGATAAGCCAGATCTATTTGACCTTGAATAACACTATTATTTTTCAGTATTTCCATAACACAATTCTCTAACACATTCGTAGCGAATTTAATGAATAGAAATTATACAAAATCATGCAAAAATATACGAAAATCTCATTCTCCCTTCGAAAGGAATTTATACTCTTGATATT